TAAAAATATTGAATGCAATATCTAATTACATTTCTACATACATACTAAATTCCAACTAAAATGAAATAAAACTTACTTAAATTCATTATTCAGTCCTGCAGATAAATGTATATCGGAGTGGCATAATATAATCGTATTACCAAACATATTATTTTTTTTTAGAAGTTTGAATAACATGGCCGTAGTTAAAATGGATATTGATCAAGTTGATATGAATCATTACTTCATATCTGAATTAGAAATTGAAAACGATCAAGATCCCGATGTTATAAAGGTCGAAGACATGGATCGTTTTATTACCAGGTAGATTGAAAAACCTAAATTAAGTAATTATTCGATCATTGTTAAGAGTTGCAAAAATGGTTTCACTAGAATTTTTTCCTTATAAGCTATTAAATAACATAATAATAAAATGGTAAGTGGTAACGCTATGTTTTAAAAGTTCTCTTATTTGTAAAATATATTAAAGATTTTGCTAAGATTATAAGAGTTTCCAAATATTAAAAATTTTAAAATGAAAATAGACAAATTAGAAAATGTGTTTTGTTCATTCAATAAGTGACATTCAATACGTCTTATAGTTCAGTCAACCGAATCCGGTAAAAATCAAGTAGAAACACGTAATAATATCTCATTAAATAAATCATGTAAAGTAGTATAATTTAACATTTACTAAATTATTATACCAGTGTCTGTACATTTGATAGGTGACCGTTAAGATATAAAATCAAACAAAACTTTGATATTTTAATATGTTATGAATTTTTAAAAAGTATGGAATAGTTGATTCCTATTAAAAAATATGACGTTTTTTATATTTCATGACATAAAGGGTTACACAAAAGTTGTCGATAAATTAAGAATTTACTATCAAGTTATAAAATATGTTGTTTTAGCTACAAAATCGGTACAGTAAAACACGACCGAACTGGAGAAGAGTCATCAACACAGGAAGAGTTGATAATGCATAAGAAGAGAATAATTCAACGTCCCTTTGGCTTAAGAACACGCGCACAGTCTGAAAAATATGAAAAGCCTTTTCAGTGTGAAATTTGCCTAAAAACATTTTCACAGTCTGGAAATCTCGCAAGGCACAAAAGGACACATACTCGCGAACAGCCCTTTCAATGCGAATTGTGCCTTAAAGTATTTTCGCAATCCGGAAATCTAACAAGGCACAAGAGAACACATACTCGCGAAAAGCCTTTCCGGTGTGAAGTATGCTTTAAAAATTTTTCACAGTCTGGAGGTCTTACAGTGCACAAAAGGAAACATACTCGCGAACAGCCCTTTCAATGCGAATTGTGCCTTAAAGTATTTTCGCAATCCGGAAATCTCACAAGGCACAAAAGGACACATACTCGCGAGAAGCCCAAAGTTTAAATATGTATCATAAGCCAAATTTTTTTTTTTGCTTATTCCGGGCCTTGTGCATCTCTCCGTGCCTCCCTGTCCTTAGCATCCTTTATAATTGCCGATTTTGCCTTAAACCCAACCTTAATCTCATTAGCCTTTTCAAAAAACGAGTTTTTCGTTGTTTTTGTAGCTACATTCTATTCATTTGAGTCTAGAGTTTTGCCATGCCCTTTTTCTTTCCAATATTTGTTTTGTATCTCGTCACTTCATTGCAGGTGATCTTTTATTCTCCTTACTTGGGGTTTTGAGCATATTTGTTCGTTCAATATCTCTTTTTCATTGAAAGGTAACTGGGGTCCACGGGCTCGTTACGTCCGTTACACTATTCAGAGTACCCCTGCGAGGGTCATAAACCAATTGTATAATAATAATTTGTTAGATTATAGTAACAATTGCGCACTGCAATACATGTTTGTAAATAAATAAAGTTATACACCATAACAAAATTGTACTCATTTATAATTTATAATAATACTAAACGAATTATAATTATTATCATAACTGTATATTATCTTGTCTTATACATACTTACTATAAAAATTGTAGCCTAACTGACTACATACAATATGACTGAAAAAGAAATCAGTGTGACCACAGATTTAAGCATACAATTTCATAATAATATTTTCTTTTTCTACAAAACAATCGAATAAGGAAAAAAATTATGGGTTTTTTATTTTTTATTGCTACGATAACGGCCAGCACGATACGGTCAACAATTAAGATATATAAATATATAAAATCATGTATTTCATTGATAAGAAGCAATAGTATTTATTGTAGAAACGACGTGTCGCGTAATCGTAATCTATGTTATTCCCATTGATCAAAATAATACTGAATTATAGAAAATAACATGAACATATAAATACTTGTGGGCCAACTTATTCACCCATATTAATTGAAATTCAAATTGTCGATATCTCATGAATCATCTTATATTATATATATATATTTGAAAAATACAATTTGCTGCTTGGCTTTTAATCTAAAGTAAAACGAAATTAATAAAATGTAATTCGGATATTATTTCTTAGAAAAGTCCATATAATAGATTTTTCCAACAAACTTGATTAGCTCTTACTCTCTGTATTGTTGTGTTAGGTTCTTGCAATGTACTTCTTCTTCTTCTTCTTCTGGCCTTCATAACTCTCCAAGAGTTTTTGCCGCCATCACTAAATCACCCCACTTATCTCGATCCTGCACGGTCTCCCTCCAATTCTGTGCTCCAAGGTCCTCCAAATCTTTTTCCACGACATCCATCCATCTTTTCCGTGGACGACCTCGTGGCCTTTTTCCTTCCGGCTTCCAATTTAATACTACCTTGGTTAATGCATCTGTGTTACGCCGCATAACATGACTCTATGAATCCATTAATTGTAACTATATTTAGTTCTTCCTTTAATTCTTGGTTGAACTTCCTGCGCCATTGACCGGTCCTCGGATCCCTGATCGGACCACATATTCTTCTCCATATCTTATTTTCAAAAGTCCTCAGTCTTCGCTGTGTTACACTTGTAGTAGTCCATACTTCACAACCATATGTTAGTATCGGCCTTATTATTGATGTATAAAGTCTTGTTTTTGTTCGCTTGGAGAAGAGTTTAGATTTAAAGAACTTTAACAAGGCAAAAAACGCTCTCTCTGCTTTTGTTATTCTTGAACCTATTTCACGAGACCAATCATTTTTCGTACTTAGTAGTGTACCCAGATACTGAAACTCTTCAACTTTCTCATAGGGTATCGTTTCCATCACATCCGGCGATATTTCGCTACTCAAGAGTTCCATTAATTTTGTTTTGTCAATGTACTTACTGCAGATAAATTAATTCGGTTTTAGTCTTGTTTACTAGATATTAGAAAAACATAATCGGCATCATCATAACTTTTGTACAAACTGTTAGCTGTTCAAATTTTTAAAAACAAAACTAAACATTAAAATACAGTTAATTTTCAACCCTAATATGATAAAAGTTTTCAATCCCAGTTTTTAAGTGTTCTTTTTCACTCGAAAGTACTTCAACCATTAAAAAATAATTAATAGGGTACGAATAGTTTTCCTGTATAAATAAATAAAAACTATCTATATAGTATATTGTATTGTTCAAAAAAAAAATCCATCTGCGTTTAAACCCAAAACGTTTCTAGAGAACAGAAATCCGACCGTTGCGGCTTATGTGCGCGAACATTAAACAGACCCAATGGAAAATCAAGACCCGTTTAATGGTATAGGATTAACTTTTATCGACTTAAAAGTGTTAACGTTATCGGATTAAATTGTTCTTCACTTTTAATGATACATTTCCATTAATTGTGTTACGTGACCAAAACCTTTTGAAAATCCTCATTACCGAAAAGGTTTTAAACAGCCTCGTTTTTTTCATTTTTCATTCAAATGGGATAACAAAAAAAAAATCTAAAATTAATCATAAAATATACCATAGTTTTTCTATTCCTACTGTCCTTATTAAAATTGAACCACTTCACTGATAAATTATTTTATTTAAACGGAGGAAATAATATTATTTTAGATAGACCAGACTAAAATAAAATTGTTGTAAAAAAAAAACTATAATATTATTATACATTTAAGTTCATAAAATTGTAGTTTTTTTGCAAGCGTTACTTTTAACCCTAGCAAAAACGTTTATAGGTGTAATACAAATTATTTTTGATAAGAACATTTTTTTGAGTGATGTAGAATTGGGTTTTCCTTATTAAGTAGGATCTTATACTACAGGTTTGTCCAATGTAAAAAGTAGGATCTCTTAATTTTTTGTTTATTTTTTCAAGATGTTTAAGAAAAAGTGGTAGTATTATGTTCGCTATTTATAATAAGTATTAAATGCAAATTTAAAAATATATTTTTAATTGTTGTAACACCCGGGTTCTAAAATGCGAGAAAATAATGGTACATTATTTTACATTTAGGTACAAAAATGATAAAACAAAATACTTTTATACTTTGCGTTGCGTTTCTAAATCTAGTATGTTTTATAATTATAACTTATAACAAGGAGTTTTTGTAAAATTATTTATCGTGTAAATTGTAGTCCATTATTGTTTTTTTTATATCAAAATCAAGCTGATTTTACAGCGACTGTTATAATGTAAACAAATAGTAAGTTCCTATAGGTATCAAAACAATTTGTATGGTTTCATTATTTTTTTTTTTATTGACAACGAGGTGTTTTTCTTAACATATTTTGTTTTGCAGATGTTTTTGTATTTATATGTTTGACCTATTTTATTTCTTGCACGGTAGCATCTTGATGTTGATTTCATGTTGATTATTAGTGAAAAATTGCTTATACAATACGCGTTAATGAATGCTATTGTAGAGGTCCTTTAAAGTTTAAACAGTTTGTTCATGGTAGTTTAAATGATGTGAGAAAAAAACACGGCACTAGGCATAATATGTGCGCTTTGCCGTTTATATGTTTGTAAAATTCATATAAAATAAATAATATGATATACATTTATTTTCATAACTGTTTAAATATGCATTTGAAATGATGCCACAGATTGAAAATAAGTGCCTATTGGTATCACAAACTACTAGGCATAATATGTCACCAAAATATGTGCGCTTTGCCGTTTAAATGTTTGTATAATTCATATAAAATAAATATTATAATTTACATTTATTTTCATAACTGTTTAAATATGCATTTGAAATGATGCCACAGATTGAAAATTCCTTATAAATCTGTATTTAAAAGATACAATTATTGAATGTTTTTCGATATTTTTTTTCAGTTCTTTTGTACAACTAGAAACTGGCGGAAGATTACAAATTATAATGTACTTCATATTGTCTATTTTGTTCATTTCTTTTATCCTAAATGCTGATACCACCCAGCCACTAACTGATGAGCAAGTAATATTTAATAATATTTTTAGACTATTATTATTCGAAAACTAAAGTATTTTGTCAAACATTCAATAGATTACATATGATCAAGTTATGGTTTACAGTAATTTTTTTCTATGGAAATATTATAGCCGATTGGGCATAATTTTACATAAACTTTGTCTAAGTGTTTGACAATGGATTAAGTTTTTTTTGCGTAACGTAACACACAATAAAACAAATTTTTAGATATATTTTGTACAATTTTTAATTTCGGTTACCATAAAAAAGTTTTGTAAAACATTTAAGCATATACTAATTATGTGTAGTTGGCATAATATCTGCAATTACAATTTTTTTTAGGATATTTTTAATACAAATAATTGTTACAGCTTTTAAAACAAAAATTCGAAGACGCAAAAAAATGGTACAAAGTTGCTGAGGGCAAAGGCCTTACAGAGAAACATGTGAAGGATATGGTGGGTTTCCCGAATTCAAAAAAAATAGACGAATTTTTTAATAAATATGAATATACACCAGAACAACGAAGTAACTACTAGACGTTTTAAAGTTTTATTTAAATAATTTTGTAAAATATAAATAATTTGATAATAGTTTTTACTGATCAATAAATGACATTGAATAATTATTCTTAAATTTATTAAATTTTACTATATGGTACTTTATATTTTTCGATAACATAATAATCCCCCTGCTGTATACTAAATAGATCAAAGTAAACAACAAAAAAAGAAAAATATATGTTCCCAGTTCCCATCGTCATCGGAACACAATGGGAACTTACATTTTTGTATGCTGTTTGATAGTGATCGAAATTTTATGTTACAGTAATTTTTTTAAAGAGAATTATTATGTATAGCTAATCATTTTTGAAGAAATCTTTATTATACATAGTGGTTGCACAATTAAAATATTTATTGAAAAAACAAAAAAATAAAATATTAGCACAAAAATGACAAGAGTTTGTTTAGATTTTTTAAAAATTTTACTAAAAAATTTGACTTGATCTAGAGAATATTCCATACAAATTTGGAACTCATTCGATTATTTTTAAAAAAAAGTCATAGCGCGCAGTAAGTTTAATTTTAAACATGAATTACATTTTTAGATATTTTACTGAACTTTGAAGTAAACCAGGAGAACTATTTAGATTATTAGGAAAAGTGTGTGAATTATAAATATTATCTGATTGGAAAAATACAAATGTCCTATCTACCGAAACTAAAATTTATTTTAAACACTTAATTTTCTTTGAAACGAGTATCATATATATTAGCATTAATGTTGCAGCATTCGGGTATGACCTAAGACTTGTACTTTTAGTTCAAAATAACAAATAATTACTTTGAATATTAAAAGTGAGCCGTAGAGAAACTTAAGCAACATATTATCTTATATACCTATTATTCTAAACAAATTTAAATGTTTTAACATTTTATATAGCCTCGATGGAAATGTACTTTTTTAAAAAATATTTTTCTGTATAATCTTGAATCATATATAATTAATTTTTATTTCCTAATGTACATCTGCTGTCTATATTCTAAAAGTTGAAGTAATTATTGAATTTTAAAATTAAAATACATCTGTTTAATTTTTAGATGACATACAGCTTCCATTGTTTGAGCTTATTATGTCATCATTCCATATGGTGAAATCGTTTAGAACGACACTCAATCAACCGAGCGGATAAAATATGTGTTTACAAGAAGAATTAAATGCTAATGTTAAGATCATATTGTTTTTGAAAATGTAAGCGTTTGAGTAATTATTTAAATGTTTCATTATGTTGTATACTATAGTTAAAACAAATTATGACTCGTTATAAATGAGTAAGTTTAATAGAAATGTAATACAATATGATAATAATTCAATGTTAATTTTAAGGCTTACACAATTTTAATAAAATAAATAGTCTTTCCGCAATAAATAAAGTTTATCCTCATGATTTTTTTTTTAAATTGATGTTTTAAGATATAATTAAGATCAATCTTCAGAAAACAATTTCCAGCTTTTAAGTTCCTAAGCTGCAGCTATAATACATAAGAACAAATACCACCCCCTCTTGTAGGTGGTACTGAGGTTTTGTTGAATTTTGGATTTGATGCTATTGTTAGACACATAGTTAATGAGTATCAAAGTTGAAAGTTGAAAAAGTAACATTTTTTTTTATTTTAAGAGTAAGGTGAAATATAATTTTAAACTTCCGATCTCTTAAAAGTACTGACAATTAGTGATTATGTTATCAAAACATGTGTTACTCGAAAAAATCAGTTAATAAATTTAAGCTATACATAGTATATACATACATTAAAAAGTGTCTTTGCGATTTTTAATCTACATATTTTAGAACGATACTTGATTAAAGTAGACAAATTTTTATGAACACCAAGTAAATTTAAGTTGTTATTAATATAACCATCTTTTTGGGTATTCCATTAGAATATGTTAAATCGTTCACTGATTGAACAAGGGTATTGTTTAAATAATAAATTGTATATGAAATTCGAATTTAAATACAATATTAATTATTTATTGAAATACAAATTCAAATAAGTATTTTCATAAAAAATAATTGTTTTATCATTAAGTCATACTTTTTTAATGTACCCATGAAAACACCTTAAGCAGCCCGTTCAGTGTCATCTCTGTCCGTCCCCAGGCAACTTGGTATGTTATGTTTTTACCAGGAAAGTAAAGTTTAAAAAATAACAATTGAAATTATTTATAAATCAATCCATAATTTTACTTGTTGGGTTATCTTTAAAGGTACTAAAAAAATTGAGCGATGATTTTTTAAATGATAATGAAAACATAGTTAAAATTTTTTGTAATTAAAGCTCTTACTTTTCCTTGAATTTACTGTCGTATTTTATGCTCATATTGTATAGATATTTCAATACATTTTTCAATATTATTTTTAAAAATTTGTGTATTCGAATAGTTGTAGAATAATATACATTTTCTATTAGATTGTAATTCCTATCTTTATCGATGTAGAAGAATATCGGTAAGATCGGTCCAGCGCAGCCCAATAAAATAAATATAATAACTTTTTCAACTTTTACATGATAAAACGCATACCTAACCTACCTACCAAAGCTATGCATGTTAGCTATAAGCAAAAATATGTTTTGAAATTGTACCCCCATTATATTGGATTTCCTACAATAATCGTAGATGTTAGTCTTACTCTTAATGTACCTCCAGTCTTATTTTTCCAATCCTTTGGCTTAAAGTCAACTAATTAAACTATTATTAAAAAAAATTATAGCTCACCGTAATTATTTAAAGTTTAAAAATACGATTGTTTCGTATATATATTTTTTTAGATTTTAAAATGTGAAGGGGTAAAACGTTTACATTTTTGACCTAAGAAAAGGTATCTTTTAAGTAAGATCTGATTTATAAACTTTCTACATGAAAATATCAGATCAGCGGCTTACCCGGCCGAAAAAACATTAATTAAAATTAAAAATACTAAAAAACGTACAACAACTTAATATGATCACTTTATATGAATGCGTTACAACTTTCGTGGATTGATATATCAAATGAGTAAGTCTCGGATATATCCACGTCGGTATAAAACATATAAAAGTATATTAAAAATTGAGAATACTGTCGTAGGGGCACGGAATGATGATGTGTGATCTACACAGATACGTTACTCGAATATATTTGTCTTGCGATTCAAAGCTCTGTATACATTTTTTTTGAGCGTACTTAGAAATTTAAGGTCTGAAGATTAGACTAAAAGGTATTTCATTATATAGCTTGAAAAATATTTTAATTATACACAATTTTATTACGATATATGGTACTGACGATACATTTTTTTATAGGACATCTTGTTTAAGTTCTTAAGTCGTATGAAATAAAAACAATTGTTACTTTCCATAACACATATGTCGTATCCAGTAACGTAGCCAGAAAATTGTGGGCCCAAGATCCAGTTTATAGTTAAAAAAAATTCTTCTAATAGATATGCTTTAATTTTTATTTGATGCTGAGTGATTATCATCCTTTAAAGTTATTACTTCATAATAACTTTAATCCTAAAAAATGTAATGTAAAACTATGGACATTTTTTTTTTGTCAAATACGACTACTTGTAAACTAAGGTAAAATAGGAAGATTCTATTTGGTATTTGTCATAATGTATTAAATGTAAAAAAATATTGTAACGTTGGCTTTGTACAACACAGACATTTTAGGTAAAATGTATAATACAAGTTGTATTAATATACTATACTTAAAACAATCATATTAAAATCAGATTTCTAGATTTTTAGCCCAAGTGAAGAGATAAGATAGATCTTCGACTAGGACCACACAACGTTTTTGTTTTTGACATTTTTATGTCTATGCTATGGCACACACACGGAAAATCGACACCGACACCGCTTATCATAACGAAAAATAATAACTGATTTATCTGTTTAGATAAGAGAGATAACAGATAACAGATAAGAGATATTCGTTTTACTTTGGAACACAACCGGAAAAAATCGACACCGACACCGGTTATCATAACGAAAAAAACAGATCTCTTATCAAATGATTTATCTGATAAGAGATAAGGGAAGGGGGTGAGAGTTAGGGGGTAATAGATAGGCGTGAGAGTTAGGGTTTATAGATAGGAGATGAGAGTTAGGGGTTAGAGATAGATGGTGAAAGTTAGGGGTGAGAGATAGAGGGTAAGAGACGAGGGTTGTGGTTGGGGTGGGAATAGGGGGCATACATGTGGTATTCACAACGGTCAAAATAGAAATGAATAATAAATTCAATAATTTAAGGGGCCAAATTCTCTAAGAATGGTTTTGGGCCAGATATTACGAAAACACTAAAATATTAGCCAGAAACTTGATATGTTTACTAGCCACCTTAGATACATAAAAATGTGTCCCGTGGTGTTGCGGACTCGTACGCAAGCTATATAATACCTTTCTCTTAAAGATTTACATTTATAATAGATATTGTTTTTAATTTGATAATATGTATTTTTGTACTATTTATTTGCTTAACAGAAGTAATTTATATATAAACATATATATATATATATATATATATATATAAACTATATATATATAATTAATTACAATATAATTTATGCTACTTTACCGCTTCAGTCATATACCTAACTACACGCAGTGCCCCTATATAAGTAATAATTAATATATTATGTATTTAACATGCGTTTTAAATTGTAATTCTACCTTGTATTTACACAAATGACAACGAATTACATTCTTCAATTATAATATTGCTATAATATTATAACATACTAATAAAATATATGCTACATTACCCTTTTGTTATATAACTATAGTCCCTTATATATTTAATCATAAATATTTTATGCATTCAACCTGTGTTTTAAATTTTTTTTTAATCTTATGTTTACTCAAGAGCCAACGATATTTTTTCTTACATTAGAATATACAATATTTTTTAACAATTTGTATAGTTTTATTTTATTGCTATCGAAAACATATGGTTTTTCACAACATCTGTAGCCATTTAAATTTATGATAAAGAATTATAAGTTTCATACGTTTTAAAAATCGACCTAGTTTTTTCAAATTGCAACAAATATTTGTAAATCCTACAAACAAACTACTAATAAAAATTTCGAAAACAAGTGTTTTTTTTTAAGTATAACGTTCCGTTATTTGTGTACTTAAATGTTAGACTATTTATTTTCTTGTTTTGTAAAACCCTGAATTTACAATAATTTTAGATGATTTTTTAAATTGTTTTATTACATATTATAAATAATGAGCCGAATTAACAAATTTTCTTGGACATCTTGAAATAATAAACAAAACAAAAATACAAAAAAATCTATACTTTAGATACTATATGATTTAATAATCATATAGTATGTCATATGTTATAAGATGAAATAGGAATCCTAGTATATATTGGAAATGATAAAACTCTATCAAATAAACGCATTGTTACATTAAAAAAAAAAAATTCAATATGGCCATTTTATTGAGAATAATTTGCTGAGAATTTTGAATGGTCAACAACCAGTTTTAGTTTATTACTTTTTAAGTTATTAAAGGTTAAAGGGTAGGATAAGAGGTGGAGTGCGGTAGTGTAATACTTACAGATGAAAATAATTTTCTACCGACTCCACCTCCAATCCAACAATTTAACCTTTAATAAATAAAAAAGTAATAATCTAAAACTGGTTGTCGAACAGTCTCAATTCTCAGCATACTATTCTCAATAAAATGGCTATCTTGAATTTTTAAAACAAAAACAATTAAAATAATTGTTATTATCCATAATACTTAAGTCATATTTAGTAACGTGGCCGGAAAATTGTAGGCCTCAGAACCAGTATATTATAGTTCTAGAAATCCTTCTAAAATATATTAATATGGTTACTAATTTGTGTTTATTTGAATGTATAATGTAAAATGTTCATCATCGTTTATCATAATAATTATTTTTCAACTTTCAATTTTTTTAAACAACAATCTATTTCAAATAACACATTTTGTTACCTTTCAAATATATAATATGTCCATTACATACTTTAACTTCTGATTCCTTCTCTTTTTTTTTTCTTTATTCTAAAATGTCTATGGAGTCGAGACAATTATTTCAATTTATTTGATATAACAAATTTACAAAGATAAACATTTAATTAATTTTGATTATTTGCCATCTATACTCCATAGAAAATATTGTTATTGTGTCATTTCATGCCTAATCACCTAAAGTGAGTGCGAGTGGTTTTCTAAATTCAAACATTGCATGCGTAGTTAAAATATGATTTTTTTAAGTTCGTTGTAAGCTGGCCTTATACACTAATCATTTAAAAGTACCTCTTATCCATTACATG